GTGAACACCTTTAGTTTTCTTGAATGATGATACCTAGGTCTTTCTCACTTGAGGCTTGTGGTGGTTGTTCATTTCCGAGGAAACATGAAAATCTCCTCTTGTGTCGTCGAGATAGAACCTTACACGTATACACATTGAATTGAGTGCCGCTCCTATTAGCACTAGCTGATCATCCGCCCGGTGACCGAGTGAGTAACATACTTGCGCTCTGCCTATGAGGCTCGATCGATCGATTCTCAGTTGGATCGATGGATTCGCAATGCTGATGGGACCTAACCAGGTCGAAACAGCTGTCCGGTACTTCCTAGTTCTTTAGTTCATGCTTCATTTAGCATATACGCTACAAATTTCCTATCTGAAATTAAATCAAATCCTCCATTACTAACACAAATTATTTCGTTGTTCACAGACGGGTCAACTGGACTATCACAGACAATCCGTGTCTCAATCCCGTCATGACGGATTCAGTCTGGCTTCCATGCCAGTAAGCATCTGGTTTCCAAGGTGCATTCAATCAGTTTCATACACCGTGTAACACATCATTTACTTTCGTTCTCCTCAATAAGGGTCTAGATTATCAGAATTCAACTGTACTATCAAAATACATTGTTTGTATAAATCTAAAAGATACCCTTGTTCATGCTTATTTTTTTATTGCTAGAATGAAAATTCTGAAGGCAACCGGCTGTTGCTTTCGAGTTTCTGGACAGCAACTCACAATTCGCTCAACCACGGAGGAGGAATATTTTCTTTTTCAAAAAATCTCTTCATTTTTCGAAAATCGCATCATAAAGGTTTAATCAATTTATCTATTTTTCGAACAGCAAATAGAATCGATTGCAATAAACGTTGGAAATTTCTCTAAATGAAGCGTTTCTTTTTGTCGGTTTTAAGGAGACAATTATGTCCGGGAACCAATCATGGTCGTTCTTCTGAATGAAATTGTCTTTCTTCAATAAAGAATAGTAATTTGCCGTTAATTGACCAGTTTTGCAAGTGGACAACTTGTATTAAGCAAAACAGCTGAACAGTTTCGCTAAATATTTGTTGTACATGCATAATTTAGGCACAGTTTACAGCTCAATCAAACTTCCGCGTTATGAATCAATCAAATTCTGTCTATCAGCCATGAATTGGGTGTGAATCACGAGTATTTCTCCTGTTTCTTCCAAATCCGATCCCAGTTCAGATAGCCAAACTTCCAGCATCTTTACGA